AACACATTGGAAGCAGAATATTTGAAATGCTGCTATGTCCTAGTTGCTAACTTCACCCTTGGCAACACATTGGAATCAGGATCGCTGAAACAGGTTCCTGCTTGTGGTGCTATGGTCCCGCCTCATCTTGCTTCAAATCTGAACCCGGCAACACGTACTATTTTCGAGATACAGAAATTTTTATTTTGGTTGCTAACTTCACAATTTTTACTTACAAAAGTCAAATCTCTAATTTTCACCCTATCAATTTGAAATTTTAATTACATTAAAATGTGAAATGATAATTTTTTATTGTAAACTGCTCTTACTACAATATTATTACACCATATAGTCATTTATAAAAAACAAAAAACAAATAATTATAATTATTATTATCGTTGAGTAAGTTCTTGTTTTAGTCAATGATTAGTTAGCACCAGTCAAATCTGGTTAGTTACGGTTTTCCAGAAGTTCTGAAAAACAATAAATTTCCATCTGCCAGAAATGCTGGTAACAGGTCATATCGTGGCTTTTTTGAATGCGCCTCGTTAATTGATTATAATTACTCTGTTGTTGAAGTTCTTTTTATTAGCAGATGTAAGGGAATATTTGATATAACAATAATATTTAGGCCGGAACACCTACCTACCTCTATTATTTGATTAGATGATTAGCATTCAACTGATAAATAGAATACCATTCAGGATTCACTATATTTCCGTTCAAATATTATTGATGCATCTCGTCATCCTTGGAATTTTGGCAGGTTGACCCTCGTATTATAATGACATTATATGTCAAATTTCAGACACGTGTTTTACATAATTTCGTAGGTGTCGCGGTATCAAAATTCTCTGGTCTATCTTGCCAATCAAATTTGACACATTTTTCAATAGTGAAAATATAAGCTCTGTTCCAACAGACATGAGAACCGTTCTAGAACGGTAATTTCTAGTCGATCAATTTATTTGTCAATTAGGATAAACGTTCAACTTATTGAAAAATAGGTGTGCAACTGAGAATTACTTGTGTTGAAACAGTTCTCATGTCTGTTGGAACAGAGCTATAATCTATTCACAATCCGAAGTCCAAACTAAAGGTGAGATTTCCACCTTTCAGTTGGTAGTTGATAGGGATTTTATTTTTATTACCTGCATAAGTTAGTAAACATTTTTTTATGTCTTTGGGAGGTAATGTCAAATTGAAAAATAACAGAGCAGGACTGAAGCATATTTTTATACTTTGAATGAGGTACTTTTTATACCATTGAAACAATAATGGTTTTGGATTGTGAATAATTGAATATGTTTCAACTATTCAAAATATAAATATACTTATGCTTCAGTCCTGCTACTCCTGCTGTGCTATTTTTCAGTTTGTGATCAAAATATGACACATGCATAACCTCCCAAAGACATATAAAAATATTTCCCAACTTATGCAGGTAACGAAAGTTGAATCTGTATCAACAACTGTAAAATAATTATGTAATCAACATTCCAATTATTGTATTCCTGTCAATAAATTATATTTAATAATCAAACAAAACCATTTGTCGCCTCTTAATTAAATAGTCCAAGCTGCCCAGAACCTCTTGATTTCAGGTAAAATATTGAGAAGGGGAATCTTAGAAAGAAGGAATCGTCGAGAGGGTAGAAAGAAAGGGATGAGTGGTGAGCGGGGAGTCAAGCAGATAGGAACAGAGGTTGTTTTTCAATGTTTGTGTGTGTACACGGATTTTGGTAAGCCTTTGGCCGATATAAATAATTATTGCTGATATATACTGTGTATAACCTGATATTTATGAATCATAATATATTGCACGCTGGTGTAGAAACTCATGGAAATGTACTATGAGTACATTTATTGCACGCTGGTGTAGAAACTCATGGAAATGTACTATGAGTACATTTATTGCACGCTGGTGTAGCAAGCCTCTATACGCTGGTATGGGCGCCATTCCTTCAGGTTGTGTCTTGTAAGATTGGGGGCCTTACTTGAGACTTGATTGACTCAAATAGGTATAGGGGTGTAGAGCAAACACCCCAATACCCAATTTGTTGGGATACTGATTGTTTAGCGGCAATTAAGTATCCGGGGAAGCCTTGACTTATTTCAGGGGGGCACTAGCTAGTCGTCGAAGAAAGAAGATACAAGTGAAGATTAATCCTGCTATTTTAATTATATTTTTAGCCAGGAATATTTAGTATTGGTATGCCAGAATGACCAAGAGGCAAGGGGCGGTAAAACCCCCCGGTGAGTAATTGCATTGTTATTAATTGATTATCAGATCAGTAATTCTTTCATTTTATTTCATATGGTTCCTGACAATATTTTCCGGCATTATCTTGACTGAGGAATGAATCTGCATTGCGAAAACCCACTAAAAAGTCCTCATTGAGAGCCCAAAAGGGTTAGTTTTACACAACCAACTGAAAGGTGATAAATCTACCTTTACCTTCGCATTGTGAATAAATTATAAATATAAACGGTACTCATAAGTATTTTATTTTCTACTTAACTATTATAGATCCATAATACCTAGGAAACGAAATACGTTAACATACCTATAACAACCTGAGGACATTATGATCTGATCCAACCATCTACTTACCAATATACTGTTGAACTGTTCAAATAAGACACTCACCTGAAACCTGTAGTTTCTGAACTAATGAGAAAAATTCACAACTGAGTGAATCAGGTAAGTCTTGCACTTGAAAAACATATTGGTGGTTAGATGGCTGAGTCCACCCATAGGTTCCGCAACAATCCACTCATTTGTACTTGAATAACTTATCACATTATATAACTATAGTTTGTTAAAGTAACATAACTTATTCCTGTTGAAAGACAAATTGATAAAAAGTGGATAATCTTACAAATTTTGACTTTATATAATAAGTTATTGTTCAAGTACAAATAAGTGGATTATTGCAGAACTTATGGGTGGACCTCTGCGGGACGAGCGCAGCGAGTTCCGCAGCCATCTACTCACCAATTTAATGTTGAACTATTCAAATAAGACACTCATCTGAAACATGTTATTTTTAAACTAATGAGAATAACTGACATTTGAGTGAGTCAGGTTAGTATCGTACTTGAACAACATATTGATGAATAGATGGCTGCGGAACTCGCTGCGCTCGTCCCGCAGAGGTCCACCCATAAGTTCCACAATAATCCACTCGTTTGTACTTGAATAACTTGTCACATTATATTACTAGTTTGGTTTACAGTACTAATTCCTGTTAAAAGACAAATTGACAAAAAGTGGATAATCTTACAAATTCTAACTTTATATAATAGGTTATTATTCAAGTACAGGGTGTTTTTTTTTATGTATTGACACCCCACCTACAGCCTTCACCTTTACAAATAGATGAAAGGTGTGAATACAAAAGTTGTAGTAGGTATTGGCTAAATGTTTAGAACTCATGATCAGGAACAAAAATTGAATATCAGTTTGTCTTTATTTGGTTATTTTGGTTAAGCCGTTTCCAACATATTTAGTTCTAAAAATTTCAAAAATACTATCAGAGAAATCAAGTATCTCAAATTTTACCTATAGCTTTCACCTGTACAGGTAGAATGGTTCACAAAATCAGTAGTAGGATAGTATTTTTACAATTTTTGGAGCTGAATATATGAGAGACTGTTCAATCAGATATAGAAAAACGGGCATGGTGCTCTTCAAGAATATAGAATGAAATATAGGGCATCCCATTTGAAAAAAAGCTGGAAGCATGTAAAATTTCACATTTCTGACATTCAAATTTTGTTTCTGACCATGGTTTCTAAAAATTCAGCCAAAATTGTACAACTTTTATATTTACATCTTTCTAGGGTGTCAATATATAAAAAAAACCCTGTATATTCTAGAAACTCGGTTAATACGGACGGAGTATGGACGTGCGTACCTCGGATAATCAGGATTTTTGGGTCTTTAGACTGGCCGGTTAATCCAGAGCTCGGATAATTGCGACTCGGATAATCGAGGTTCTACTGTATTACTATTGAATTTTTTTAAAATTATGTTTCATAACCCTTAAATCTAAAAACTATTTTGTCATCAAATTTCATTATTTATACGAGGGTCAACCTGCCAAATTTCCAAGGATGATGCGATGTCAATAATATACACTTTACTCACCACCGAAAATCACATTTAAACTCTGTTCTCACGAGAGTCTAGACTCTAGACTGTCAGTAAGCATTGCCCATACATATTTTCAATGCTGTGGTTCCAAGATAAATCGGTAACTTAGCCGAGCGATTGTTTCTCGCAGGTTGCAAACTGTCATAGGTACCTGTGAGAACAGATCTTGTATATACTTAGACGAGACCAGATTGATTTTGAGTTATTTACAAATTTCGTTAGTTTGCAATATAAAAAAATGTAAATATAATATTGTTGATAAAACACATTCATGTAGATTTGTCACGTAAAATGCTGGTAGAATAACGTTAATTGCCTAGCACAGATTTTTGTATAATTTACTAGCTTCATTTTAAAATTAGCAACCAATTTACAATATGTTTTAAATTGTCGGAATAAACAAAAAGGTAATTGATATATTTATTTGCACTGCTAATTATCAGTAGGTAAATTAGAATACTATGAGTGATGAGTGACATATATTTTCTGATGCAATAATAGAAATGTCAGTAATAGGCCCAAGACAAAAACAAAATTAGTGATTTTTTTTTCAATCCGATTCCTACTACTTAGATAAATAATTACATCTCTCATTTTAAGAATATGAATAATATAAGAGGCAATGACGCAAAGCAAACAACAAAAAGATAGGCAAATAAAGATCTTCTTGGAATGAAAAAACTTGAATCAATTTGGATAATCAAATAAAAAATGCAAATTTCTCTGAATAGGTAATGATTAAACAAAGAAAAATTCCCAGTTAAGGTAATATTCTATTTGTTTCCCACATCAATAAAACCAGTGTCCTTTATCTAATTGAAAACACATGCTGTGCTAATAACAAATGATAGAATTTTTCGGGCGACACCAAAAAAGTTCGCGTGTCCAAACAAATCTGCACAAACCCGACAAGGTCAAAAGTGTTATGAGAATTTGATGGGATCGAAATAAAAAATTGGATCCAATTTGTTGTTTGTTGTTTAATTACTTTTGTGCACTAATATGGAACAATACAGATGAAGGACACATGGTTAATTTGTAGAAATGTAAACTATTATTTGTTTTAATTTGCATACCTACACCTTTATCTTTGGAGCTCTACTTAGTCGGCCCTTGGCCCACTGTAGAAAGTAAGTCGTCTGTATTTATTTTATCAATTATTTAATTTAGTGAAATTCTTTTTACGTTTTCGAGGAAAACTGTCAGCCCAGGTCAAGGCTATAATATATACGGTGAAAATATTATCAAAAATTTTGTAAAAATTTTAATGCAAACGACAATAAATTATTATCGTACTCCTATCATTTATTAATAATTCTTTCATGTGTGCACACTCTTCCGTAACGACTTGGGGAAAATAACATCGAAATCAAATCATTGAAACAAGAAAGACAATGAGGTAATGACATCCTAGCGTGTAATTAGTTTTGTAATTATGAATTCTCATTTGTTCATGAGTATCCGGGATTTGGTTGGAAAAAGACACAGTTTATTTATTTAATTATTTAATAAATCCTAAAGGCAAATATTTGAACGGTATCATAATTATAATTTATTTTCTTGCATGTACTTGGCCCATAATAATACAATAATAACCGAATCACTTACAATAGGACAAGGAGAAAATTTGATTTACGACGCGAGACTTGAAACAATACACCCCTTTTCGTTTACTGCGAATAATAATCTGTCACTTTAATTTATCAGTCGTTAGTTTGTCTGAAAATCATGTGCTTTTGGGTATTTATGGCGCCTATTCATCATTCACTCTTTTTCAAGGTCAAAATAAAGTGCAGGATTGTTCAAAGGACCTTTATATTACAGGTTTTGGAAAAAAAAATGTTTGTGACGCACGATAGAAAAAAATAGAAAAAAAGCAGGAATTGTTCTTGAATTGCTTTATTGAAATTTTTGGAAAGTAATAGTTATACAGTGTCCCCCGTAATGTTTGCTAATACTATGGGAATTTTTTTAATTTGTAGAACATGGAATTTTTTCTTATGTGCGGTCGATCCTAAATGCCCAATCACCTACCCTAATAGCACAAAATATTCAGAGAATGTTCCAGCAAAGTCCTGCGAAAGTTTGAATGTCCTAGACATTGAAGGAATGTTCCTGAAATATCTTTTTAGGTATGTTCACAGAATATTTTATCAGTATATTCTATGAATGTTCTAGGAAAGTCAAGATTTTTTAGACATAAAATGAATGTTCAAGGAATATTTCTGCAGGACGTTCAGTCTTATGCACGGAGTTTGTAAAAAAAAATTGAAAAGATGTGTAGGTATTTTTGAAATTTTAATGATAAAAATAGCGCAAATTAAACTGAATACATTTTTGGTCCAATTTTATCAATTACATAATTAGTAAAATCCACATCAGGAGTTATTCATAATTATTAATTTTGTACTCCTACCTATATTTTATATTCGAAAACACATAAAAACCGATAAAAACCATAGAAACGTCAACTAGTAAGTTTCTATTTCCTTTTTTAAATATAGCGCCTTTTTGGCGTATGAATATCAATCGTGTCACGTGATTTTTATATTTATAAATCTATCTGATCCACCATCACGAGACAGCCATTAGCCATTCCGGTTTTCTATGAACTAGACAAAGATCAACATTCCTGTTATATCCTAAGTAAATCCAAAAAATATTCCCTGAGTGTATGTAGAACATACGAAGATATTCGGTAAATGTTCAATAAAATGTTCACGGAACATTCAAAATGCTGACAAAGGCTTTTCCCTGAATGTTCCTGGAATGTCTTAGAACATTTGGAGACATTCATGGAATGTTCCTTATGTCCTAAATGTGTGTTCTGCGAATGTACATGGAATGCTATGTGCTATTAGGGTAAGAATACATTTTGACATTGGTCACGTAATCACTGTTGCGGCGGCCAATTCGAAAATTTAGATATGGAAACGTGAAAAGTGGGATTAGATGCCAGATGGCATAATTTCGGAAAAAGTTATTTGAAAAAAGTGATTAGAATGATGTTTTAGGGCCTTCTGTGAAATTTGGAGGAAAAGCAACAAAAATCAAGAACTTACTTCTTTTTCGCCATGGATCTCCTATCAAATAATATTATACAGTTTTTATTATTGAAATAGTCCAAGTACCTCAATATTTAATGTGTATTGGTAAAAAAAAACTTAAATTCTTTATTGGAATGTTTCCTAAAGGACTAAATAAAAATATTCGATTAGCACATGAAACTTTTCTGTAGCAATACCCTGTATCTTGACAGTTTATGAGATTTCCAATAATTTACTGTTGATACAACAATTGAAAAGAAACGTTATTGAGATTTTTTATTAAATATTTCAATACAGTTCTAAAACACGTTACTTAACTCTCAAGAGACAGGGTATTGCTACAGAAAAGTTTCATCTGCTAATCGAATATTTTCATTTAATTCTCTAGGCATGATTCCAATAAAGAAAAGAATTTAAGTTTGTTTTACCAATACATATTTAATATGGATGTACCTACTTGGACTAATTCAATAATAAAAACTGTATAATATTATTTGATGAGATCCATGGCGAAAAACAAATATTTTCCTGTTTTTTTGTTGTTTTTTCCCCAAATTTCGCAGAAAGTTCTAAAACATCGTTCTAATCACTTTTTTGAAATAACTTTTTTTCGGAATTTTGCCATCTAACTGCACTTTTCGCGTTTCCATAACTAAATTTTCGAATTTGCCGCCACAACAGTGATCACGTGATCAATGTCAAAATACAGGGTGTATCAGGTATGAGTACAAATATTTTAACATGAGATAATATGGCCCATTTCAAGTTAAAAGTGTCCTATTGACCATGGGTCAATTCGAGGGTCAATTGTTAGTGTTTTCGGAGTTATCGCAGAATTTAAATTTAGAACAATGTGACAACATTGTACAGGTATTTATCTCTGCCACGATATAAATGTAAATAAAAATGGTAAATTTGAAACTTTTTTTTGCACGGCGTTTATTTATTTTCATCTGTTTACGTTTTGGTTTGTTATTGGCTTTCAAATAATGTAAATAACAAATTACATTTTTATCACTTTTCTGGTAGAAATAAAAAATGTGCCATTTTATTAAGTTGTGAATTGCATTGAATGACATTTTTGCACTAAACATTTAAGAGAAAAATCAAATAATACTTACTCAGCTACTTGTCAAATCCTTATTATGAAAATATTAATTTTTGTTGAAAAGTTCTCAAAACACTAAAATCAACTCGCAGATTTTGCACACTCACAACTCACACATTGTATCACGCAATCTTTGTAACACGGGCACAATGTTCTTCCATCAGGTGAGTGCTATTCTTTTGGAAAATCTTTCCCTACTTTCACTGTGAATTCTGGTAGCTAAATGAGCATTTTGCAACGATTCTGCCTAAACAAGTATCTGCATATTCGATGTTTCTAAACATTTTATTTTCAAAAAAGAATGAATTTGAATTACGCGCGTTTCCCAACTAGAAAAGACAAATCAATAATCAATTTATTCAGCTCCACCAAGGTTCAACCTTCAACCACCTTTTCTTTATTGTGCTGTGTTGCCAGATGTTTAGATACCCTTTTACAAGTGAAATTTGTATGTTGTTTTTCCGATTTTTTGTTATTGTTGTTGACTAAAAATGCATAATTACTTAATAATTGGATAAACTAAACTTTTCTCCATCTCATAATGATTAAAATTTTCTTTAACTTTAAAATATTCGTCAAAAAATGTTAAGACTTCGAAGGCCTTTTTCTTAAAAATGGTTGAGTTTGGACCCCATGTTGTATAAACTTTTTTTGTTCTAAATGGGCCATATTTTCATGTGTTAAAATTTTTGTAGTCAAACCTGATACACCCTGTATACTTCCAGGTTATCGAGCATGCAGGATCGATCACATATAAAATCCTACAAATGAAAAATTTCCCCATATATAACGAACATTATGGGGGACACTGTATAATAATATAATATAATCTATAGTTAATTATTACGCGGACATACAAAAACCCAAAACCTATAAATTTTAATTGTCTATCTTTACCCCAAAGCAAGGGTAAAAATCGAAAACGCTGACCCTGACTTTTGCGAACGAACCTTACATTAAACACTGTCCACCTGTTCTGAAAACATTAAATTAATAATTAAGTAGGTAGACGGCAGTAGACACAAGTAAATAAACTTTTGCATACATTCCAATCGGGTAGATTATACAAGTAGCACAAGGTCAATTGCTTTTTGACATTAAGAAACCATTATCCATCCTTCCCCTGCCTGGGCCATTTTGATTTTGGTAAATCAAGAGTTTTGGTTCATGGGGCCGTATCACATCGGGGAAGTTAGCAACACATTGTGAGCAGGATCTTTAGGATGCACCATAGCAACACAAGTAGGAACATGTTTAAGCGATTCTGCTTCCAGTGTGTTGCCAAAATCGCTGTATCTCGAAAATAGATTTGAAGCCGGATGAGGCAGGACTATAATAGCAGCCAAGCAGGAACCTGTTTTAGCGATCTTGCTTTCAATGTGTTGCCAAAGGTGAAGTTAGCAAGCAACCATAATAAAACTCGCTGTATCTCAGAAATAGTACATGTGGCCGGGGTCAGATTTGAAGCAAGATGAGGCAGGACCATAGCAGAAACATGTTTTAGCGATCCTGCTTCGCATGTGTTGCTAACTTCCCCGACATGGTCGCATCACTAAATCAAAATTTTATTTTTTAATTATTCCAGCCAAATATTCTAATCGCCTTTAAGGAGCGGATTAAATTTATCAACCAAAAAATACTATTTTATTATTTTATTGCCTTGTTAAATTTGGGGAAAAAAATATATTTGCCAAACAGGGTAAATATCGTAATACCCACATAGTAGAAGCTGTAAATTTTATTAAATTGAGACAAATATTTTAATAGTTGAAGGCCAAGTTCAGCACACAATAGAAACACTAATAAATTTATCAAAATTTTTGCTAAATTACTTAAAAAAAAAAAAATCCAGAAAGGAAACCATGTTGTAAACTTACTCTATATAAGTTTTGCATATAATAATTATGTCAAGGAAAATAGTATAAACATATTATCGTGGATTATGTAAAAATGGAATAAAATAAATATTGCAATATTTATGGTTTGTGCAGCTTTTTAGCAATAATGCAATAATTGTAGCAATTTCTTTCCAGGATTACCGTATATTAGACCTGATCTACAAAAGACAGCGATAAAGATAAAAACCAGTTTCAATTCTAATTCTGTGCTTTTATCAATATCTAGAAACAAACCAAATACATACATAATTTCCGATAGTTCATATTTTATCTTAAAACATCAATAAGAAATATTCTAAAATTTGAACAACAAAATGAGATCTTTGTAATAATAATTGAACTACCAACAAACATTCATTTCAGATTCCTGCAGAGCTTTTTAGTTTGGAAGCTCAAAGACGGATGGCACCAGTAGCAACGAAATCCTGCGAGGCGTTTCTGGTGCAAAACCATCATCAGATGTCGTCACGAATATTTCCTGCCTATTTCCCGAGCTGAAAAACCTGTTTGAATGAAATGAATGTTATTCGAAACTTGGCCTTAGCAGCGGGCGCAGGCAGGCAGGCAGGCAGGAGTTCAAAAATCGGAGTTCGCTCCTAACGCCGGTTTCGTACGGACGGACCTTCGGGCAGGATTGTGCCGCCAAACACACGCTTAATAACCGTAACAATAAAGAGAGAAAATAATATATAAATGACTCAGACAGAGCTTTTTTTTTTCCTGCAATTTTGTGTGAATGTGACTTAGTGCGTGGATTTTTGACTGATTTTTTTTTAATCACTGAAGAGGTAAATTTAAATAGCTGCTTTTATTTATAACATCGCTAGATACCTATAGATTCTACTTATTTTGGCTCTCCGAGACATTCCTTGAAGTTTTAGACAATTTGTTTTTGTCCAAACTCAGCCAAAGTCTCAAAAAATATCAGGTTTGCATTATAAGTTTTTAAAGAGAATTTAATTCTGCTAGAAATACCAATTTGATTGGAGAGTGGAGTTGCTGGAAACTGAAGAATCTGTGAGTTATCAGTTGAGGCTGTGTCAGGACATAAAAAATTCCTGTAGAAAACCTAGAGAAAATCTTTTGATATAGAAATAAAGGAAATTTCTAAATTCAATTTTTCACTTTTCATCCATAAGGATCAGCTCAGCTGGTGGAACCAGAGCCAGAATGTACCTACCTTATGTCAGAGTTCGATCCTATATTTTTTGAGTTTCCCAAAATTTTTTACTTTAGGTACCTACCAATCGAAAGAGAAGATTAAAAAAAAAACTTGATTAGGGATAATTCCTGCAACTTTTTTTCTATATTGATTTTCTGGGAAATTTTTGATCTTAAAAAAATCTCGATCTTCAACTTTGCGCTCACAAGATGACACTAGTAATAATTTCATCATGCATGTTTTGTTAAAATAATTTTTGGTATTTATGTCAAGTGTGTTTCCTATGACTTATGATCTTATTCGGCAATGAAACCATTTAATGTTTATGCTCAAAAATATAATTTCATTTTAAATCTGTGTCTGCTAATACCATTTTCACATTAACAAAAAACTGATGAGTCCATACATGGATAGTACTTTACCAATTACAATGTTCTTTTTACAAACTATGGATTTAACACTTCTGCAAATGGAAATTGGAGCACGAATGCGGATTGGTTTTACATGATTAAAATCCTTTTCGGTATAAGTACTTTCAGAACCATCTGAATTAGTAATTAAGCTGGCCAATGGCCAAGACACGCAGACAATATTTAATTCTTTCAGCTTTATCTCAGGCAGAAAGCAGGTGCAACGCACTTTACAGTTTTACGTTGTGATGAACCAATACAGGAATTTTTATATTTTCAGGTCAGCAATATTTTCCTCCTCGAGACTTTTATCTATAATATAAGGATAATTAATGAAATAGTAACCCTTTAGAGTGCTAAAAACCAAATATACGTAGAGGTACCAATGGATAATTATAGGTTCCCAAAAAAAAAAGTCGACGTCAGTTATAAGTACACTCTTGATAAAACATTTTTTTCCTTGATTTTTTCTACAAAATTTCAAGGTAAACAATCCTGAGCTAAACTAATGGTAAGCCGCAATAGTGCAACAACCCGACAGTGCACCTTTGCGCGTTACGAAACCTTGAGTGCACAAGGGCAAAGAACTGTGGTTCCTACATGACTCGGCTTTTCGATCCAAGTGCCAGGTATTTTAAAGTGCCTATTTTTCTATTTATGAGTTTTTCATTTATCAGAAAATTTCTGGATGAAAATTATCCCATAATTTTGCTCTCATTTTGCTCCATTTTGCTGCACTAATTTCGATTTTTGCTCCATTACAGTAGAGAGACTGTGGCCTATTAGGTGGGGGGGGGGGGGGGCTGAATTAACGCTAACCCCCCAGTGAAAATTCAGAAATTTGATCATGCTCATTTTGTTCTCCGAGTTTTGCTCCATTTTGCTCCATTATCGGCGAGTTTTGCTCCATTACCAGGAAAGACCTACAGAGCTTCCAAGAATCTCTCCCAGCTCCCCCCAGTGAAAATTCTGAAATTTGATCATGCTCATTTTGTTCTACGAGTTTTGCTCCATTTTGCTCCACTATCGACGAGTTTTGCTCCATTACCTGGAATGACCTCTAGGGTCCTTATTCTTGAAACAGGGGAACAGCGTTTCTATGAGAACGAGTGTTCCGCCTTTGTTGAAGCCCACAGCACAGATCATGATGGACGACGTCTGAAAGGAGAGAGGATTCTTGGAAGCTCTGTAGGTCTCTACTGGTAATGGAGCAAAACTCGCCGATAATGAAGCAAAATGGAGCAAAACTCGGAGAACAAAATGAGCATGATCAAATTTCTGAATTTTCACTGGGGGGGTTAGCGTTAATTCAGCCCCCCCCCCACCTAATAGGCCACATAGTCTCTCCACTGTTGTAATGGAGCAAAAACCGAAATTAGTGGAGCAAAATGAGAGCAAAATTATGGGATAATTTCCATACAGAAAATTTTCTATGGGGGGGGGGGGGCTAACTTAACTGACCCCGTGGAGAGGTTTTAGGAAATTTTAGAATAGTTAGGTAGGTAATGCTATTAGCAAGAGTATTTAGATCAAACATATTAGAGTTTAACAGAATGTGTGTTTTGAAAACCAATTATTGGACTAATTCAATTTTTCCCGATAATATTAAAATTCTCCGCATTCTTCCATCAATTAATTGATGAAATTATCAATCAAAATTACCCAAAAGACAAATTTGAATTTTAAAAAAATGCTTAAAAACATAAAACATCACGAGTCTGGACAATGGACAATGGATAATAACGTTTTTCAAAGCCTGACTCTGTCTAGTTTTTTGTTGCAGAATCGAGTTCAAAGTACCCCGTCGGTCAATTGAAATTAAAACCTCCAACTCTACCATTTGCAATTCAAAGCCCGAAATGATGGTTCGAGGAGTTCACGACATCCCCAGCAGCTGCAATGAAATAATAGAAACGAAACGCCTCCAAGGAAGATTGAATGCATTTGCATTGTTTTACATCTCGTGACTTATGTGTATTACTTTCATATATAACCAACTTCGTTTTCAAAAAGTCCGAACATTGCGACTTCAAATCTTGCATTGTACCAACTTTTAACTGCATTGGTATCTCGTTGTGTTTTGTGTTATCCGAACAATCATCTCTAAAACTGAAAGCAATTTCGCTGGTGGTTATATTTTCGTAGTGCTCTTAGAAGTCGACCTTGACCACCATTTTTTTAAAAGAACTGTTCTTATCCTGGAGGTTGAACGAACTAGAACCAATGCACCAATGATGTCACACTTTTAGATTATATTTCAGTAAATTTGAGAGTGAGTCTTGTTTATACAAAGTCCCAGCAACTAGTCGTAGGTATTTAACTTATCTTTTTCATTATATGAAACAATGAAAATATCTTTTTGTCTCTCGATATTCAACCTCGTCAATTGATACCATCCGCAGCAGGTAATTCCGGTCTTAAAAGATGGTTCGATGCACCAAGATGTAGTCAGCTGCAGTAGAGACGTTCGAGATTCTTTTTGTTTTCTGAATAGAGTATGAAATCTTATAATTATACCCTATTACTGTTTTTTTTTTCTCGAAAAAAAGTTCAAGCTATGTAAGGTTTCAAAAATTAGCACAACGAAAATGGCACACATCAGAAAAATTAGAGTACTAAATTTTGGCCTATTTAGTGCTAATTTAAAAAAAAAAATTACGTGCATGTGTGCCAGCTTAAGATTAAGCTGACACACTCTAGTTGGATAAGGTCGAATCTTTGAAAATCTAGTACCTGTGCTAATTTTTTAGTACATTCATGGCATGTCTGAAAAACTAATAATGATGTATTTATTACGAAATAACCACGAAAAAGTGCTAACTTAAGACTTGAATTAGCACATATAGGCCAGCTCAATCTTAAGCTGGCACATATGTACGGAATTTTTTTAAAAACGGAGTTATAACTTTTTTTTATATGAAATTAGCACTAAATAGGTCCGAATTTAGTACTCTGGTTTTCCTATTGTGTGCTAATTTAATATTACAAGCTGTATCCACTGTTTTCTACAATTTCTTCTATAGCTTAGGATCCAGCAGAGATGTTTGATCTTAAACGTAAATCGATTATTTCCTGATAAACATAAAACATTCAAATTTTATGAATATTTTCATTGTTTTCCAAAGGGGAAAAGTTCATTGACCCCAACGTAACTTGATTCTAAAAAATCTTACAGGTACGTGAACAGTTATTTTTCCAACATTGACATTGAAAGAGATTTTATTACTCATGCAAGCTCACTACTTCCTAGACGAACTAATTAGTATTTTATTACAATTTTTTCTTGTCGGTGCAATTTGCAATTGCTGTTTTCAGTATAATTTTGACATGATTGGGTGATTTGTGTCACATGACAATAAATAACAAAATTTAACTAGCTGTTAGAAGAACTGTCAAAAAACATTCAGTTTAATTTTGATATAATTGGCTGATTTTTGTCACATGACAATAAATAACAAAATTTTACTAGCTGTAAGAAGTGTCAAAAAATTCTCAATTAAAACCCAAAAATTATCGATAATTTCCATTGCACTCGTTATACATATTACTATTGATAATTTCTCCCTTTTTCCAAAAGATTTCTAGCATCTACAATAGAAACTATATTAATTAGATCTTCGATGACGAAGAGTGAAAATCCGGAAGGAAACTCTGATTTTATACAAGACACAAATAAAGAAAATGCGATTGGCCATAAAACTGCAAATGTTGTGTTGTAAGAGCTTCGCTGTCTAAACAATCGGTAAAGCGTAAAGTCACGTTCAAATACATATAAGGATTTTCTATGTTAAGTTTACCAGGAATTTAAACTTTACCGTTAAACATCTAATGGAAAGTTTTATTTAGATAATGTTTTCAGTCTGATTTTCAATTTAATTTTCAAAGCTTATTCATCAGATTATAATTCACCACATCCATATTGCAGCAGGATTAGGTGCAATATTCTTTTGAAGTTTACTCCTAATGAGATGGAATAAATTCGGGCAAAAATAAGCTATTAGTTTGAAATTGATGACAAATATAACTACTTATAATGGCCAATATTTTATTTTTTGCAGACAGTTCAATGAAGAGTCGTAAAGGCTTAGCTTTCGAGTGCAAATACATAGTTTATTGGTTTGATGATCCAAGAAAAACATAATATGAAATTAACCATTACATTAAACAACAAATCCAATCTAAGATATAATTGCACTCTTCACGCTTCTACAATTTGCAATTTAAAACGTTACCTACTCCTACTGAACCAACACCTAATGCAGAAATGGTCGAAGAACATCGATTTATTATCGGGTTTTAAAAGGATCAAATCATTGTACTTTGTGGTAGGAGCTAGAAAAATCAAGGATAATAGGTATTGCGGGCAATTTCCTTTATCCTTATTTATAGGATACAATAAATTCCGGTCCGAATTGCCTGTACAAGAAAAAACTTACTCTAAACCGATAGCGATAATGACGAGACATGCGAAGAAGGCCGATAAAGAAAAAACAGCAGAATTTTCTTATATCCCATCTCAGATATTTGAAAATTAACGCTTTGATACCGTAACTATAACTTAATTAATAGCAACAAAGATTTAGATTTGAACTAAGTTTTTTAAAATCAGCCACACGCAGAGCTGTCAGTACTTCAAGTTAATTACTTGGAAAATGTATTTCAATTACTTTTCAGTATTTGAAGTACTATAATTCAAATACTTTTGTTTTTGGATATTTGTACTTGATTCTGCGAATACTTTAAATAAATTATTTGTATTTGGTACTTAGATTTACAAAAAAAGTAGGTACCTAATTTAAATACTGGGTATTTGTATTCAAAATATTTAAAATATTTTTTGTAAAAGTTTGTTTTCCTGAATAAATTGGTACTTATCTTAAAACAATCCCCCTGCACTTTATTTCTTAATCAACTTTTTCTAGATAAATTTTAAATCGTTGAATTTAAAGTACCTAACTATAATCTGCAACTGGAATCTTGGAAACTGGAATCTCTGTAGTACTTTTTTAGAGGTATTACAAGTATTTTCAGCATTCAATATAATTTAGAAAAAAATCATTGAATAATTTGTATTTCTTTCTAGTGGATACTTGAAGTACTTCTTATTATTTCAAATACACTATAGGTATTTGAAATATTTAATTAGGTACTTGAAATACTTAGAGAGTAATAAATTAAAGTACTTGAAACTTGAAGTACTTTTCGAATTGAAAGTATTTAGTATTTGTACTTGCAACATGAATTTCCCGTAATTGATATACTTGGTATTTGAAATACTATTTACCAGTATTCGTGGCAGCTCTGGCCACACGGTATAGTTCGTTGGTAAATTAGGAAATTTATATTTAGACAAATGAAAATTATTAATTTCATAGTTTCAGCACGATATCAGAAAATTAGTAATTATTTTGCAATTTGTTGGCACACAAGGTAATTTATAACAGATTGGAAATTTTCTAATTTTAACCTACCAACTCTATTTTGTATAGTTGCAAATTCCAACTTTTTAAACGGAAATTAAATGTTTCTAGAGACGAATCGTAATAATTATTGTTATGTTACGGTCAACAGTTTTAGAGCTTATTACTATGCTTCACAAATTTTTAGTGCCATTTAACTTCTGAACAAAAATCTAAGCGCAAATAACATAAAAGCAAAACATGACGAAAATCCCACAATTTATTATTCTACTCAAGAAGTAAAATTTCAGATTGCATTAATTATGCATAATGGATTTTCTTAAAACTTTAAAACAGATAGTGATTGCGACAAAGTTGTTGATAAGGGATTGTTTAATGTTTGTCCATCAACTGACAAGTCGATCTGCGGATTTCGGTTGACAACTGATTTGTTTGTGCTGGCATTTGATTAGCTTCTTGGCAGTTCCCGATTTTCTCGAACCGTAATACTACATTATTTATCTTTATTTCTATAGACGATTTATTTCAGTCGAAAGTAAATTAGTTGTATTTTTACGTGGGAGTTTATTCTAGCTAATCATTATTATAGAGGATTTGTTTTTGCGTATTTCAATCTAACATTTCCACCCAAAGAAAAAGATATACTCATTACTCTGAGATGGTTTTCAATTGTGCCAGTCGTGAATAATAATTATTGATGGTTTGGTCTAGGTACTAAGTTACTTAGCAAATCAAAGATAATGCCTTCTAATAAAATCTCATACTTCTTGTGCATTTGTAACATGATTAATTTCTTTATTGAAATTAGATTCAATACTTCAAAACTTTTCTGCCAGACCAGCTGCGTCAAGTTAGCCCCCCCACATTCGAATTTTCTAAAAAAATTGCAACCACTGTGCTCGAAGGGTGCTCTACTGTGCCGATAATATTTTGAACTGTGCCGTTTCGATAACAAAGTTATAGGAAAAAATAGATGGGAGGCTAACTTGACGCTCAGCCCCCCCAAAATTTTGGAAATCAAATAAAACCAAAAAGGATTCTCATCCAATTTGAAGTGTATCAGATTTTTCTGAAAATTTCCATATTCGGTCATTTTCCGACAAAATCCTACTGGGGGGCTAACTTAACGCTCAGCTCCCCCAAAATTTTAGAAATCAGATTAAACAAAATTGAATTCTTATCCAATCTGAAGTGTGCTGAACTGTGCTGTATCAGATTTTTCTCAAAATTTCCATATTCGGTCATTTTCCGACAAAATCCTACTGGGAGGCTAACTTGACGCTCAGCCCCCCCAAAATTTCGAAAATCAGTTTGCACAAAATTGAATTCTCATCCAATCTGAAGTGTGCTGAACTGTACTGTACCAGGTTTTTCTCGAAATTTCCATATTCGGTCATTTTCCCATAAAATCCTACTAGGGAGCTAACTTGACGCTCAGCCCCCCCAAAATTTTGGAAATCAGATTAGACAAAATTGAATTCTTATCCAATCTGAAGTATGCTGAACTGTGCTGTATCAGGTTTTTCAGAAAATTTCCATATTCGATCATTTTCCGACAGAATCCTACTGGGGGACTAACTTGACGCTCAGCCCCCCCAAAATTTCGAAAATCCGTTTGCACAAAATTGAATTCTCATCCAATCTGAAGTGTGCTGAACTGTACTGTACCAGGTTTTTCTCGAAATTTCCATATTCGGTCATTTTCCGACAAAAAACTAAGAGGGGGCTAAGTTGATGCCAAATTTTAGAAATCAGATCAAAGAAAAACGGACTCTTATTCTTATTAAATCTGAAGTGAGCTGAATTGTGCCTGATCAGGTTATTCCAAGTTTCCATGTTTGGCCATTTCCCGATATAGATATAAACCTAATGGATGGTATGTATGTAAATTCTCAGAGCTGAACGTCAAGTTAGCTAGTAAGATTTTGTCGGAAAATAACCGAATAAGTATGTAAATTTTGAGAAAACGCGATACAGCAGAGTTCAGTACACTTCAGATTGGATAAGAATACAATTTTGTTCAAACTGATTTTCAAAATTTTTGGGGGGCTGAGCGTCAAGTTACCTCCCCAGTAGGATTTTGTCGGAAAATGACCGAATATGGAAATTTTCAGAAAAGCCTGATACAACACAGTTCAGCACACTTCAGATTGGAAAAGAATTCAATTTTGTTTAATCTGATTTTCAAAATTTGGGAGGCTGCGCTTTAAATTGGCTCCCCGCTCCCCAGTATGATTATTATGTCGGAAAATAACCAAATATGAAAATTTTGAGAAAAACCTGATTCAGCACAGTTTAGCACACTTCAGATTGGATAAGAATTCAATTTAGTTTAATCTGATTTCCCAAATTTTGGGGAAGCTGAGCGTCAAGTTAGCCCCGCAGTAGGATTTTGTCGGAAAATGACCGAATATGGAAATGTTGAGAAAAACCTGATACGGCACAGTTCAGCACACTTCAGATTGGATAAGAATCCTTTTTGGTTTCATTTGATTTCCAAAATTTTGGGGGGGCTGAGCATCAAGTTAGCCCCTCATCTATTTTTTCCTATAACTTTGTTATCGAAACGGCACAGTTCAAAATATCATCGGCACAGTAGAGCACACTTCGAGCACAGTGGTTGCAATTTTTTTAGAAAATTCGAATGTGGGGGTGGCTAACTTGACGGAGCCTGCCAGACCTACATAATAATATCTTAGCCATATAAATGATTTACTATGCCACATTCGTTATTTAGCGGGTATAATCCTCATGCATGCTGTAATGCAACCTTTCACTCCATAGTATCAAAATTACAGTATTTTCGATGACTTCATTAACGCACTTAATACCTACACCACTGAGCAGTGGAAAATGTTCCGTATAATTTCAAGCACAGCTGCAGATATTTATATTCTGTAATGACTGGTTCTGAGGAAAAGAAATCAAATGCATTTTGTGATTATACGGTATCAATCTGTGCTTTGAAAGGTTAGGTAATTGTAGGAAAAATCTGCTAGAGACATTACGGAACGTGGAAGGTGAAAAATTAAATTCAGAATATGAAATTGGTTTCATAAAACAAACAGCTGTTCTCTCGCCATCGTTTTACCCTATGTTTAGTCATACCCGCACTGATCAAAATTATATTGCGACACGAAAACACAAACAAAAATCTCCCTAAAAATGCATAAACTTTGCGTAATTATACCAGGTGGTCCCCAGAAAATGTGCATAGTAAAGTTATGGTTAGTTGATTTTGTGCTTGCAGCTAGTTTTTGTAATTACCTATTTTCAAAAGTGGGACCATTAGAGAACAGATATTTTTTGAATTATACCTTTGTGTATTTTCATTCTTTGTATTGATGGGCAGGAACTCAAATCCTACAAAAAGACCACTAAAATTATATATACAAATAAACGCATGAAAAGAAATTGAAAAACTCGGCTTAGTGTTACGTTTGAACAAAGTACCTACTTATTATGCATATAATTTGAAGCTTATACACATTGAATAGTGAATCATTTCTTCGAACCAAAAGTTCTTTTTCTACTTGGTAATCATACGTTAATAAAGTTCAAATATTTACTTAGGAAAAAACCCAGATTCTAATTACGTTTCCTTTGTCCGCATCCATCATCTACTCTTAGATAACCAACTAATACATATCTTTGTTCCAGGTGCACCAACTAAATGCAATAGGTACCCCTACCGCCGCCATCAAACAAAGACCAAGAAAGAGATAAACCAAACACATAACGGAAGACAACAAAATCGCGTTTTTAGTCGACTGAGTATAATTTAGTCATCGACGCGACTCGTGGTGGTACCAAGCTTCGAAGAACGATTGGTACTTACTCTGATAATAATTATTGTGCCAATTAAAATGTTCTAACTCAAATTCAAAAATGAATTTTCGTGCCAAATTAATAAAGTGTCAGTATTACTTGAGACTTGCTACCTACTCAGTTATGATTCAAATTTGTTAAAAGTGATAAGATGCCAACGAAAAGGCAGTACGATTTGGTGCAAAATGACGAGTACGACACCAGGATACCGTTGCATCCGGAGGAAGCATTCCACCATGGTATCACTTTTCAAGCAAAGGTAAAAATAATTGCACTATTACAGCCTTGAACAAGCCCCATTCATTTATTTATTATGAAAGAAATACTATACTTATGATGTAAAGCTTAGTTGAGAGCTGCAACTAACCTTGACGTTCTTAAGCAGAATGAATATTTTTTTCTTTATTTGTATTATGCAGCTGCGAGCTGCTCAAGTAATACCAAATAAGAGGAATTTATTTTTGCATCTTAATCGTGTTGTGGGAAAATATTATTTCAATTAAATAAATTGATAATTTATCCAATCTAATGAAGAGAAGAAGTATTTTTCCGATCTAAATAAACTGATCGAAGTCACTTGAGGTTTGTTTCAAACAATTTTCATCTGGTTTTAGAACGATTTCATTGGCCCCAGCTGTTTTTTTTGACGCCTCATTTGATCACAATCAGGAATCAGGTTGTTCAGATCGAAAGAATACCAGGATTAATATCAATGCATTAAAATGCCAAAGATTGGCAGAGTTTTCTAAAATCTTTGATATATGAATGTGTTTCTTTACTGGCTTTTTTGAGAAATTTTGAAGATAAGTAGAAGGAATAAGGTTTGAAACCTAAAAGTTTGTTGTTTGTTTTTGATTTTTGCAGATCTTGTTTGATCCCGTTTAATTTTTTGTTCATATCTCATCCGCTTTTCCTGCATATAAGTATCCATTAGCTTCTCCATGTTAAGAAAAATTGTTTTTAGCCTCTGGTCTTTAATTACTTAACCCTTTAACAGGCATAATTTTCCTGAAACTATTTTATACAGAAATTCTCTGATACAAACCCTATACCACTACCACACCTTTATAAATAATGCAATAATAGAATGGAATTTCTGCGGGATCAGAATGGAAAACACAATAGCTTTCAAACAGATTTATAATAAAAACGAAATTTACAATAACTAAAGAAAAATCACATCAAATTCTATAACAAATGAACATTACCCATCTTACTTCCATATTATGATCCTAAATACTGTCCTAAATTTTTGTGAAAACTGGATTGACAAAATGGAAAACTTATCAGAAAAATATTATAGTAACAATTAGTACGATTTAAAATTGTTCATTATCGTTATCATACCACAAAACATTATTTTCAATGGTAAAATTGTATACCTACATCCGGAAAAAAATGTGGAAAAATTTTCCTAGCCTAAAAAGAACTGGATGAAAACTTGATTGATATTTTATGGAAACATGAAACATTTATACAGGGTGTAAAAAAAGTCTGGAATATTGGTGATATCTTAAAAACGGCTAAATATTTTTTTCTTAAAATTGGTATGCCTCTGTAACGAATAACTCCGGATCATTCAAGTGTGAAATCGCTTATGTAAGAATACAGGGTGAGTCAATAAAAATGCAAACTTTTTTAGTTTAAATGACACACCCTGTAAATTTTTACGGATATCGATAGATCTTTGCAAGACAAATTCACTAATATGGGGTTTAGGGATCTTATCTGTCAAAGTGACGGAACAAGTAAAAAAACTAATTCAAACTGTTTATTGTTATAAACACTAAAAATAATCACAACAAATGTTTGAAATGAGCTCCATTATTGGCTAGGCAATAACCTAATCTGTCCTTAAACTCCTGGATAACATTACCGAAGATTTCACCTGGTATAGATCGACTTTCAAGTATTCTATCTCTAAGGTCGTTAAGATCTAATGGTCTACTTTCGTAGATGTTTGTTTTTAAATGCCCCCACAGGAAAAAATCCAGGTGTGTGAGGTCCGGTGATCTCGCTGGCCATTCAATTTCACCTCGTCGTCCTATCCATCGATTTGGAAACTCCTCATCAAGAAATTGCCGGTCTTGTACACCAAAATGCGCTGATGCACCATCTTGCTGAAACCAAATATGGTCCCTGTTTGGATACAGCACATTTAAACTAGGAATAATATTGTCTCGCAATAATTGGAAGTATTTATCCGAAGTTGAATTTCCCTCTATGAAGAATGGTCCTATTACATTATGGCCAATAATACCTGCCCATACGTTTAGTTTTTGAGGGCGCTGAGTATGTACTTGCTCCATCCAGTGAGGATTGGTAGTAGACCAGAATCTACAGTTGTGCCTATTTACAGAACCGTTTAGCATAAAAGTAGCTTCGTCAGAAAAAAGAATTTTATTTGCAAAAAAGAGGTCAGTGTTACAACGCTCCATAAGAATTTCCCGAAACTCTGACGACGAGGTGAAATTGAATGGCCAGCGAGATCACCGTACCTCACACCCCTGGATTTTTTCCTGTGAGGGGCATTTAAAAACAAACGTCTACGAAAGTAGACCATTAGATCTTAACGACCTTAGACATAGAATACTTGGTGAAAGTCGATCTATACCAGGTGAAATCTTCGGTAATGTTATCCAGGAGTTTAAGGTTAGGTTACTGCCTAGCTAATAATGGAGCTCATTTCGAACATTTATTGTGATTATTTTTAGTGTTTATAACAATAAACAGTTTGAATTAGTTTTTTTACTTGTTCCGTCACTTTGACAGATAAGATCCCTAAACTAAACCCCATATTAGTGAATTGTCTTGCAAAGATCTATCGATATCCGTAAAAATTTACAGGATGTGTCATTTAAAATAAAAAAGTTTGCATTTTTATTGACTCGCCCTGTATTCTTACATAAGCGATTTCACACTTGAATGATCCGGAGTTATTCGTTACAGAGGCATACCAATTTCAAGAAAAAAATATTTAGTCGTTTTTTAGATATCACCAATATTCCAGACTTTTTTTACACCCTGTATATGAAGCATGTATTAAAATAGGAATCCTGAACTAGCACTAGAACTTATAGGAAAAATAATTCAAAATTTACACAAAATAAGTTCCAGGTTCTAAATATGGATAGTTTTTTACTAAATAACTGAGTACAGCATTAAGCCTCATTTACACGGTGCAAGTAGCTTGAGCAAGTACTAACACCAGTAATTAAAATTTAGTAACTTGAATCGTGTAAACACCTTAATTTAGTACTTGAGCAAGTAAACTCTTTAGTCAAGTGATTAGTCATGTGAATAGAAGCAGGTTCTATTTACTTGAGCAAGTGGCTTCCCCCACTCTCGTTTATTTAACTGACTTTGGCGGACTGGACTCGTGTAGACAGGACTTGTATTTAGTGATTAGTGAAGTACATTAGTAGGGTTTGAATTTGAATATTTTGAGTATTGTGTTGCACCTATTAATTGCCTTTGCAATGTCGTCTCGTTGGACGGAAGAAACCACAATTAAATTTATGCAAGAGTACAGAGAACATCTGTGTTTATGGAACTCTAAAATTCCACTGTACAAACGAGATAGGTATCTATGGTCGAACTCAACAACATTTTTCTTTTTCAATTTCTTTCAATAAAATTTCTGATAATTAGGTGCTAGCTGACGTCTCACACATAACCTCAATGACATGTTTGTCCTCCTAACGGAAATCAGTCTATATCCTGTTCACAATTCGATGTCCACAGACAGGTGCAGGAAAATTTATCACCTTTCCCTATCAAATAGCATTGAAAGGTGATAAATTTTACCTGTACCTGTGGACATCGGATTGTGAACAGGGATATAGAGTGATTTTCGTTAGGGGGACAAACATGTCATTGAGGTTATGTGTGAGACGTCAGCTAGCACCTAATTCTCCACAAACACTCAAAATGCATTTATGAATTTCTTTTCGGACAACTGTACTTGCTGCCATTTCACCTCAATTTGCACTAATCACTAAATTCGACTTAAAATCAGTAAAATGCATGTAGACACTCACTTGCACGAAAACAAAGATAATTTAGCTACTGGCGTTAGTACTTGCTTAAGCTACTTGCACCGTGTAAATGAGGCTTTAGAAATTTGAATTTATATCTATTCAGTATGCATAATATAGATAATAATTACCTATTTGATTCGTCAAAATCCCTTCCGGATTATAAATATTGATAAAAATATTAATTGAAGTAGGTACATTGGGATACATAATAGGTACATTAAAAACCAGATTTTAGGGTTAAAGTAAGGAATAAACAAGGTGGTACTAGGTTAACACCAGGTTAAATCTTGACCGGCAAAACAAACAAAAGTGAAAATTTAGTTCACTAAACCAGATTTACAAAAGAATTACGGAGAAGACAAAATTAGATTCACTTTTTCAACGTGAAACCATCGCCTAGTCTAGACGCACGCGTTTATTTTATTCTTCTACTTCAAGGATCATATAAGCTGGGTCACTGACTTTTGAATAAAATTTTAATATTCAAGCGATTTGGAAATGAGTACGTGAGGAAAATGGGAAATGTAGACCAGACGTCCGCTATGGACCGACAAACATTTCAATTTTGACTTTGGCTCCATTCATTATTATTCGGTTACCTATTTGAATTTATAATTGATCTTATTTTCTGTAGGTAACTCGAGCTTTTAGATAATCACAAAGTATAGTTTCCATATTTGGACTTTTCAATAAGGTAGTTTTGGGAACCCTGGCAAAGCAGATCGAACAGGTTACATGTCCAATTAGTTAGAGTTTGCCTAAAAATAATTAATCTAAATATATTTAAAAAAAATATTGGTTTAGCGATATCTATATTTCACCCAGGGCATTTACGAATTAATATTTTGGCAGCAAATAAACTTTGAAAAATTTCATTTACAGTTGAGCTTTACCTAGCACTTACCTACCTACTTTATATCTTTCAGGCAATGAGTTACTATAAGAAAAAATTATGTAAAAGTATTAGTAAACTCAATTTCTGTACTGACTGAATGTTCAAATATCCAAACTGACGATTGAGCTTACGACCATCCGTAAATCACAATAAATATTTTAAAAAAAAAACGCTGTATTTATTTTCGAGGCGCATTTTCGCGGCGTCACCTTTATTTTTGGGGCCTTTTAACCACTGATTTTAACAGCATCATGTGTTTTAATGACGTCATATTGATACAGGTGAACTCGCGAGTTTTATTTTTGAAACCGACCGCAGATTTAT